ATCAAAAGTAAAAATATTATTTATTGTCTTTTGGAAGCTGCATTCAAATCCATTTGGCTCAAAACCTGAGGAGGCACATGGTTGAATGGGCCCCTGGTGCATGAATCTGCCCCTGGCATAGATTGTGGATGTGAAATGGTATTAAATAATTCACTAAGATCATGTACACTAGAAGAGCTAGTTTAATTTTCATGATCTTATTTTTTCTTGGCATGTTCACAGAGCAGTGTTCGAGGAAACTATATTTGCTATTTACCAATGCAGTTCTAAAATAAAATCAATTGTCTATTATTACAAAATGGTTGGTTCCAATCCTTCATTCTGATTGGTCAATAGCTGTGCTTTATTCACGATAAAACACGGCTATGATCGCTTCACCCAACGGTTCTATTTATCACTGCGCCCTTAGCAACCACAATTTGGAGAGACTTCTAAAAATATGAAACGTCATGCTGAAGTGCTGAAATGTAACATTGAGACATTCGAGAAGACTCGTAATGTAAAAAAAAAAATACAGTGCCGCAAACCCAACGGGCAGTGAAATGCTTCGGTGACTGGTGTAGTGAAAAGGGTTGCAGCATAGATTTTAAACAAATCACCAAGACGGAACTCAACGCACTTATCCGTGACAACTACGGAACTGTCAGAAGGTCCAAAGGAGAAAAATATGGGATCAGTAGCTATGTAGCGTTACGTGCGGGTCTGAACAGATTCCTGAATGATCCACCTTTGAGTTTGTCCTGGTGTCTGATGAGAGACGGCGAATTCACCTCATCCAATAATGTTTTCGTTGGAATCGTAAAGACAATGAGAAGAGAGGGTCGTGATAAACAGAGCATCACACACCGATTTCTACTAAAGATCTCAGAACCATAAAACAGTCCGATGTGCTTAAACCTAACACACCTGTCAATACACCAGTCACCGAAGTATTTCACTGCCCATTGGGTTTGCTGCACGGTATTTTTTTTTTTCATTACGAGTCTTCTCGAATGTACGTATCAATGTTGCATTTCAGCATGACGGTTCGTATTTGTAGAAGTCTCTTCAAATTGTTCCTCAAACCACTTATCCATCATCATGCCACCTAGTAAATCAAAATTTACTTTAAACATTTTAGCCTTTTTAAATTATGTCTGTGAGTGGACATAAGTGTAAAACTTCAGACAGAAAACACCGCTGACAGCGCTGAGCCCCAATTAAAGAGGACTGCGTTAAATATCACCACAGTGGAGCCGATTGAAACGAGACAAATATTTAATGTGTGCACAATAAACGGAGATGTTCAAATAAATTTAAATAAACAACAATAAATAAAGTATCTTTTGTTAGGCAGCATTTTAGCAACTAAATTAATAACTATATTAAAGACCTAACTGTTATCTATCAAAATATGTGCCCTTGTTTTTATTTTTATTAGGGGTTCAAGCACAAAGTGCTGAAACCCTATTGTTATTGTTAATTTACCCATCATGCAACATTCTCCATGTAAAACTGATCGTGCAGGACGAACCGTAAGTCCTAGAGACTTGAAACTTTGTGGGCTGGTAGTACTCACACCACCGACAGCGTCACAAAGGCATGCCCCGATCGGCCTCACGGGGGTGCTACAGCGGGCAAAAGTACGAAATGGCTCATAACTCCTCAACCGTCGGGCGTAGGCTCAAGTGTCTTATATCGTTGGAATCCTTGGCTCCAGCCGGACAAGATGCATGCCTTGGATTGGCTTGCCCTTCGGGCACCAATTTCGAGTAAATTGCGTTTTTTTTAAAAAAAAAACATACTTTTGAGAACTACTCCTACGTTTTTGGCCCGATCTGAACCAAACCACTGCAGAAATGTTCTCTGGAGTCTGACTGTCTATAATCATCAAAATAAATAAATAAATAATCACAATTTCAATTGTCGGTCACTAAGGGGAAGCAAAATGTTTGATGGCACCAGAGCCACTTTTACTAAAACGGTTATAACTTGTGAAAGGAATGAAATATTTTCGCTAAATATGGGACACGTGTTCATGAGCTCATTTTGAGGTCACATGAAAAAAATTGCGACGATTGGCCACTTGGTGGCGTTATAACAGGGGAAAAAGTCTTGAAAATGGCTATTACCGCACCCAACCATTAGTCGAATAAAAATTGGCATGCAGTCTGTTTGTCCAGGGTACCTTGATAGTCTATGAGAACATTGGCGTATCTCAATAAAAACTCAGTATACATCATCAGCACAATGCCCTGATGGAGCCTGAGAATTTTCAACCCAGCTTTTTTTTTCACGGGAGTGCCCTCTTTATACTCCTGAATCCTTGCCGAGTCCAATGATACCAAACATGCCAGGTTTTGCCTTGTGGTTTTTGTAACGGTATTATTTAGAGGTTTAAAACTTAAAAAAAAAAATATTGTTATCTTCAAAGGCGTTAGTTCGATCAAGATAAAAAAAACAAAAAAAAAACAAAAAAAAAAACAGGCAATTTGAAAACAGGCATATTGCTTTAGTGATTGACATAATGCCCAAATGTAAATAAGTTTCTAAACTTCAAAACGAAATGAAATATTTACAACAAATTTGACATATATATTTGCACACTTGAGGACTACTAAAAAAGTGGTGCAGATCAGGCAAGACAAGGTACTATAACTATCAAAAAAAAATTCAGTTATATTTCCCTAAGTAAATTGCATGTATTGGCTGTAAATGTTGTTTGCTATGTTCTGATTTCATTTGTTTATTTGGATCCCCATTAGCCTTCTCTTCCTGGGGTCCCAGCTATCAAATAAAAATAATACATTTAATCAAAAACAATAAAAAGTTAGGTCAATGAACCTATCATTCATTCAAAATATCAAAATCAACAATTTACAATTTAACAATATAGTGCTATTAAATGTTCCTTAAAATATTTTTTAAACTCATTTTCCTCATTAAAAAATGTGTAATATCAATGGTAAATCCTTCCATAGTTTCATTCTTCTATACATTACAGTCCGATGTTTTGTAGTGGTTTTCGAAACAGGAAATAAAAAAACATCTCTTTTATGCATGCCTGGTGTTAAAACATGAGTAGCACTACTATACAAAAATTGAGAGTACAGAAAATTAGGAATTCTAGACACAGAAATATTTCTTATAAAACAAAGCAGAGACAATCTTTCACCAGTAGGCTACATTCTTATTCTTACATTTGTTAATGCACTCAACCAAACCACTGGGCTATATTCTAAGCTAGAACCATTGTTTTAGAAATACAGTTGTATCCCAGGTATCCCAGGCCACCAGTAAATGACTTGAGAGTTGGAAAAAGTTAAGAAAAAGAAAGAATTAATGTCCTGAAAGTCAAGGTGGAGTATTGGGAGGAATTCTGAATCATTGTGTTTTGAGTCAAATCTAATATCTCATTACATTTCTTTTTGTGGTTCAATGACTGAATGTGTATTTTTTTTAATTATTATTATTAAAAGTTATTTGAGTCAAGGTGAAAGAAACAGATGCAGTATTGGGTTGGAGAGTTTTTATTTTTCTTCACAAATTTTATGAAATGGCGGAACTTCACTAAATTGAATCATTATTGAATCATTCATCCCAAAAGAAACGGTAGGGTGTAATGGTTCACAAAATCCACGGTTCAGTGTATACGATTTTGTATATGATACACTGGTGTCACGGTTCAGTTCGTTTTACATACAACAAAAAGAAAGAAATGCCAAAGAAATGTTCTCTGAATTTTTTTTCTTTTTAAATTAAAACTACCATCATAAAGTATGATCATTTTTTTTTTTTACTTTGAGCAAAGATGGAGCTATACTTGACTCTTCTTAGGAACATATAAAACAAAAACAGCTCCTTGAAAAAAAATGTAATGTAATATTGTAATAGTTATAAACTACGGTTTATGTTTTATTTAACATTTTAGGGTAGCAATTTTATTCATAATGTCGATATAAAACCGACGTAACGTAACTTGAAAGTATTTTAGCCTAACTTACTATTCCTGCCAAACTTCCATGGTTACATTTAGTGTTTCTACAGTAAATCCATGGTGTTGCTGATCTGTGAATACTGGATAGTTCATTCAATGTTTCACACTGTTTCTTCCTGGTTTCCACATCATTGCTGTTTGATCCATAAATAACAGAGACATCTGAATCCTTCTCACCACATTCTTCACTGCATTTTTTTAATATGTGCATGTTTGTCCACTAAAAGGATACTTAAGATGAACTTACTTATAAATATCAATCCAACCTATAGTATTTACATTTGCGCAAAATGATTCTTTACTGAATCTCTTATATGATGTTTAATAAATTACCTTTGGTTTCCTCCATTTTCTAAGTGTTTACTTTCTTGCAAAATAAAACTTTTTGTCTTTAAATTCGTTTGTGCTTAAAGGGCTTAAATGCTTGAACCCCGATAAATGCTGCTTGCAGCTTTAATTTTATCTGTTATTTTGCTGAGAGATAAGCTATGCCTATTTGTGTGAGGAAATTTTACAAATTTTGTGTTGTAAAAAATAAAAAGAATGAGACAAAGTTTGAGAATGGTTTGTTGTTTTTATTTGAGCTTTCCTGCATATTACACATTGGAACGTTGTTGTTCACAGTCAGGGACTATATTTTTCTAGCGGAAGGAATGTTTTTATTGATTTAACTACATGAAAGTTGCATTAATACATTGTTTTTTACTTTAATATTGTGTGGCAACTATTTTATAAAAGCAATAAGGTACTCGAGGCAAGTGCTGTATCGTGAATAAGTAATGGCTGAAGGGGTTGCAGGCACTCCGCTTCGCGTCGTGCCTAACAACGCCGTTCAGCCGTTACTTATTCGCGATACAGTACCTTATTGCTTACTGGTACATCTGTCGTTATTTACATTTGCTACAGTGATACTGAGAGATGCACAAATAAGGTATTAATGCCTCTCAAATAGTCTTGCTGTTGTCATTTTTCTGTAACACAGTGGTCTGTTCACAAAACACAATTTTTTGGTTTGTTTTTCTAGCTGCAGAACAAGCAACAGAAAAAGTCTTATAGGGAGTGGACAGTCATCAGCCCTTCCTCGACCTCACTCACCTCTGTCATCACACACAGGTAACCGGTTCAGTGCGTTTCTCTGTTTGTGTATGTACACAAATACTTATGGTTTTGATGTCCGTTCGAGTGACCCTTGGATTTTATTTCACAGTATTGTCCTGCCCATAGTGAAATATCATTGATCCACAAAACCACAAATATAATGAATACAGCTTCATCAACCTTTTGATTGGCTCCTTTCTTGGAAATGTGGTGCTTCACACTTTATTAGGGCAAAATCTAATTCATACCTATATTACAGAGAGCTGTCTTTTGTACCACGGCCTGGTCCATAAAACCTAATGTGTCTGAGCAGCAGTCTTTTGTCTAATTCACGAGCTGTCTGCTAGATCTTCGTCTTACTCATTCTGCCAACTGTGCACACACTGCCCCTTTGCTCTATTGGAAACCTTTAAAGAGCATTCAGCATTACTGTTGATTTAATTACAGTGTATTAATCTGATTAAATGTCACTTTAGTTTTATAGTCTTGAAATCTAGAGGCAGTCAACTGGCTCATAACAGCATGTGCTCTCAGATGCCATTTAGAATAGCATTTATAGACTTGAGTTCTGAATTATATGATAAAGTTTAATACATTTATAAGTTGATTTACAATACTGTTCAAAATTTGGGGTAAGTAAGTTTAAAAAAAATTGAAAGAAGTTTCTTCACCAAGGCACCGTTTATTTGATCAAAAATACAGTAAAAACATTAATATTGTGAAATATTATTGAATATACAGTGCTGGTCAGAATTATTTGCCTCCTTGGTAAATATGATCAAAGATGGCTGAATTGAAAGTGGGGAGGAAATCACATTAAGAACTAAATGTTTTTTCTCCAAAACACGTTGGGAACAATTATTTGCCCCCTTTTATTAAATACTTTTTGCAACCTTGTTTTTCCAAGATAACAACTCTGAGTCTTCCTATATAATGCCTGATGAGTTTGGAGAACTAAATGGGGAAAACCATTCCTCCATGCAGAATCTCTCCAGATCCTTCAGATTCACAGATCCATGTTGGCGCTTCTTCTCTTCAGTTCAGCCTACTCATATTCTATAGGGTTCAGGCCTGGCACTGGGATGGCCGTTGCAGATGCTTTTGTGCTCAGTGACCCATTTTTGTTTTGAAACCATTTTGATGTTTGTTTTTGGATCACTGTCCTGTTGGAAGATCCAAACATGGCCTGTTATAAGATTTCTATAGCATAGTCTGTCTGGATTAGATTTTTTTTATATCGGTTGTTGTTTGATCGAATCCATAATGCCATGTCTGGCAGAAAATTAGGCCCACAGCATTAAAGATACAGCAGAGCATTTCATTTTACACTTGGGTTACTTTTTTATCCCTGTGTGTATCAACCACATCTTAAGTGTTTGCTGCCAAAAATGCTTTTTTTTTTTTTTTTTAATTTATCTAATATGGGTTTGGTTCAAAAACTGACAGCCTGTGCTAGAAATCTTATAACGAAGAGAAGAGAAGAAGCATCTACATGGATCTAGAAATCTGAAGGATCTGGAGAGTTTCTGTATGGAGGATTGGTCTCTGATCTCTTGTCAGTTGTTCTCCAAACTCATCAGGCATTGTATGAGAAGACTCAGAGCTGTTATCTTGGAAAAAAAAAAAAAAAAAAAAAAAACACACACATACACACTTTCAAATCTTTACTTAAATGAAAGGTTAGATTTTTGCATTTTTTAATTAAATACAATATCAAAATGATTAACAATGCAGATGTATGTTTTTGTTTTGGAACCATCTTTGATCATATTTACCAAGGGGGCAAATGATTCTGACCAGCACTGTATTGAAAAATGTAATTTTATACCTGTAATTGCAAAGCTGAATTTTCAGCATCATTACTCCAGTCTTTAGTGGCACATGATATTCCGGAAATCATTCTAATGTTGATTTGGTGCTCAATAAACATTTCTTTCTTTTTTTTTTTTTTTTTTCCCCATTATTGAAAATGTTTGTGCTGCTTATTACTTTTGTTGGAAACAATATTAATCCCTTTTTTCCCAAAAATTATTTTATGAATAGAAAGTAGAAATACATTACTTTTTATATTAATCAATTAATTAAAAGCGCTTTACAATAATGTTCATTATAACATGAACTAATAATGCACGTATGCAAAACTGAAAATAATATTAATAATGCAAACTGCACATTTACAGAATTTAATAATCTTTGTTCATAATAACATAATAACATAACATAATAATATCTCTCTCTCTCTCTCTCTCTCTATATATATATATATATATATATATATATAGTATACTCTATGAGTATAGTATACTCTATGTGTTATGAATTTTATATCCATTAGATTGGCATAAGATGTTGAAAACCCCAGTTAATAACTTGCAAATTCCACATCATTATTAGTTTATTTCCATTATTTTCAAATCATTTGTCTCTGTTTATTAGTTGTGTGTGAATATCATCAAGTAAATAAGTCAAGTAAATGTTATTATCAAGTAAATAAGTCGCTACTAATGAGCAGTGACCACCAGCAAAGCTCAGGGCTCTTTATCAATACTGGTGGGGCCACAGACATGGCTGTTAATTAACTATTAACTACTTCCCTTATTCAATCAGGTTAATTATATGTAATTATTACAGGGCAAAAAGCTGTTTTGCTCAAACGGCCATGATTTGGGATGTCCCAGACCCTCAAATGTGGCCATATTGCCAAAAGCAATCCCCTAGAAACAGTGGGGTTCAGCTAATAAGAGTGAACATATGGCGACAATGGTGTGGGGCATTTCTGGCCTGTCTCTAGGTTTAACTCACCCTTATTTTGTTTGTTATTTCTGTTAGTCAAAAAGGGATCATAAAAATATGGTTAAAACTGTTTTTACTAGTTTTTTTTTTGACAAACTAAAATGTTGTTATTTACTTAAAATGTTCCCTATCTCTCCAAGAAGAAAGATGGTGGAACTGGATCGGTCATAATTGGAACTGCAGAATAGGATGTCAATAATATTGTTATAAGATTCAGTACTATTGAATATTGTATTGTTGGCACAGTAAAAAAAAAAAAATGTGATTTTGTTTTTCTTTTAGGCACCAGTCCACAAGACAGCCCTAGAAACTTCTCCCCTAGTGCTTCAGCTCATTTTTCCTTCACACGCAGGTAATGACATGGAAACAGATATGAATGCTATTTACATGGGACACCTCAGTTTTCTATATTTCTAATCTACCCAAAATTTACCTTGGGGCCCAAGTCATATTTAGGGACAAGATTATCATAGAGACTTGGACCGGGCTCTTTTGACTAGGACAAGCAAACACCCACAACACCTTAGGATATCATGGTGGTGTGATTACCAGAAAATACAAAATGTTGAAAGATGAACGTACTGTATAAACCAGTGCTCAAAATGCATAATCTGAGAGATAAATGGCTGTATTATTAGAATAGGTGGTCCAGATCTGTCAGGAATATCAGCATATCAGTACAGTGTTCAAGTAAACAATGATCTTTGATGTGAGGAGTGTGTGGCTGATAAAAGCTTCTGGTTTCTGCTTTTGAAAACCTCAGGAGTTGACAGGCTTTCTACATTTTTAGATGGAAACAAATTTAAAACCGTGGTTCAGAAGTTCAGATTTAAACCTGTCAAGTCAAACTCAGTTTGATCAGACAGGGTGGGATGAAAAATGTGTCTTTTATTTCTGAAATTCTTATAACTTTTTTTTTTGTAAACTCCAATTACTATTATTTATTTATTTATTTATTTATTTATTTATTTATTTATTTTATTTATTTATTTATTTATTTATTTATTTATTTTTTACTATTTATAATCCTCTAGTCATGGACTAAGAGCAGACAGGTAATTCAAACTTAAGTTTATTGAGCAAATCTCATGATACCTGTCATAAACATGTTCAGGTCAGATTGAAGCTTTTTTTTTTCACACAATGAAGCTTTTTTTAAAACCATAACAAAAATTCCAATGTGACATTAGACATCCATACATAATTGACTTTATGAACTTAAGCCAGCTCCTTGTTTCCTGTCTGTCATTATTGGACAAATTGATTAATCCAGGTGTGCCTGAGCTCAGTAGTCATGGCAACAATAATCAGACACGCCTGAATTAATCAATTTCGGCCAATAATGGCGGACAGGAAACAAGGAGCTGGCTTAAGTTCAGGAAGTAGTGCAGCTGTGCATAAGGTCAATTACTACATGCTATTTCTTCTTATTGTGGGGTGAAATGTGACCTGGATATAAGATTCATGAGATTCACTCTATTATACTTGTACATTTGTCCCAGAAATCAACCATAATGCATCACAAAGTTTCCCATGTACATAACTGTTCACTGTGGATATTGACATTAAGTGCCTGCATGACCATTTTGGGGATTTTTCTGTATTTACTCTACCCATTTATCTCTCCTCCCATGCAGTGTTTGTGGCATTTGTCTTCCTGTTATTATCATCAGACCATTCAATCAGCCAGGCCCTTTGGAAATTGCACACAGAGCTCTGCTCGAAATGATAGCAGCCCTAGCTCATGGATTACACTGCCACTGTCTTTCATTTGATCTACTTTGAAAATAAATGACTCACTCAGCATTTTCCTTTTATCTACAGTACTAGTGTAACACTCGCCTCTCATGTCTTGGAGCCAATGCAGTCTAGTATATGCAATTTACTGTACTGATGATGATTCTATACAGCACTTGTAATTACTTGAGGGTATATGGACTGAAGGATTGTCTGTGTTTGTAGAACTGATGGGCGACGCTGGTCCTTGGCATCGCTTCCCTCCTCTGGCTATGGAACAAACACACCCAGCTCCACCGTCTCTGTAAGTGCTGCATGTTTTTCAGATGGTTGTGTGCATTCACTGGCAGCGTTTTGAAGCAACAAAGTGTCTCTTAAGTCATTCGTTTTCAGTGGCTTTTGAAGAGATTCAAGTAGTAATGGCCACTTTGGGTAATTTTTTTGTAGAATTCCACCATGTGAAGCAGTTAGATACGTTATTATAGGAAGAAGACCATACCTGCAACCGACCGCAAAGAAATTGGGTGGCATCAAGCAAATAAATCGCTGTCAGTATGAATGCACCATTAAAGTGAACCTAAGGCTACATCTACATTTGAAAATGCCATTTTCGTTTTGAACCTCTCTCTGTCCACTAGTGTTTTCAAGCATTTTCTAAACGTTTCTCATCCACACTGAAACATCGGAAAATGCTTAAATGCGTGAAACGAGATTTCCTTAGATTTCCACGACGCATGCGCGAGAATTGCGATCTGAAGTAGTGTAAGCAGATAGCAATTCTCGCGCATGCGTCGTGGAAACCTAAGGAAATCTCGTTTCTGGCCTACAAGGAAGAAAAGAAATAGTCAAATAAACTCGTTATTTTTGTTTGTTTTTTCGCACAAAAAGTATTCGCGTCGCTTGATAAACATATAGTTGAGCCACGGTAGTCACTTGGGATATTCAAACATTTTCTTCATTGACTTTCTGGGCCGTCAAGAGGCAGTCCCTTAGGAGCCAATGTGGTAGTTATACAGCTCTCAAATTTAATCAAAAATATTTTCATTTGTGTTCCGAAGACGAACGAAGGTCTTATGGGGTTGGTACAGCATGGGGGTGAGTAATTAATGACTTAATTTTCATTTTTGGGTGAACTAACCCTTTAAGCTAACCTAGATAAATGTGCAGGTGCATATTCAAGTGTTTGTGTGGAGAGCGTGCTTACCGTATGACATACAGACGCCGGCGCAATCACTTGCATTTAAAGGGATACTACACCTCTGGAAAGATTTATGTGTATTTAAAATTGTTCATTTATGTAGAAGAAATGTAAAAAAAAATTTATTTTATTTGGAACTTTCTAGACTTGAGAAAAGCCTGAAAATGTATTTTTGGCTTATGTGAATGAAAGACTCACTGCCTCACTTGCTTCACTGCCCTCGGAGGCCACGCCTACCGGTAACAGAGCGCAGTAGTTAAACAAATCTAGACTACCAGTGACTTTCCGTGATGAGTCTGCCCGAAAATGTGTTTCGAGATCGCCCAAATGTCCAGGATTCGGCTTTTGCATTCTACAGTCGCCATTTGTTTACTGTGGCAGGCAGGATGAGGCAAGGACCGTGTGGAGACCGGCGCGAGGTCGGTAGCGTCATTATCGATGAGCGACACCTGTGAGACGCACCGGTCTCGTATCTCTCACGGAGGAGCGGGAATTTTCTTAGCAATGTTAAAATGCACATCAACCGAACACTTGTTTAGCGTTCATATAAACACTACATTCAAATTCACCAATCGGAATGAATTCAGTTAGATTGAAACAAAAGGTGTGCATGTAAACAATGAAAGCAAAAGCTGAATCCTGGACATCGATGGCCGGACATGTCCGGGAAAAAGAGGATGGTAACCCCTACTACTCAGCTTTCTCCACAGAGCAAGAGCCTGCTAGCTTAGCTTCCAGAAATAGATGGCTGACACTATGTGTATTCTGTGAGTGAGATCCAACCCTCTATGGGTGGGTTGAGAACATGCAGAACAGCCCCTACTACTGACTGTAGTCTTTAGCCTCTGGCCAAAAAAAAAAGGATTTTTTTCCAGACAAAAAAACAAAACAACAACAACAAAAAAACAACAACAACATAAATCTCTCGTCTCGGGGGATATGAGGTTGGAAAGCATGGTATTTTCGAAAATACTACAGGTTTTCTACTAATACAAAGCTACAAATCAATACTCTGTAATTTTTGGTCATACAGATAAATAATTATGCAAACTGTAAAGGGACTACTTTTTTTCTAAACTCACAATAACAACAAAACGTTGTGCTTTTGTAAAATAATCGTGCTTTCTGTTGATTTCGGTTTCCGTGAACTTCACATAAAATGAACCGAAATTCAGTGTATACTTGCCTCACAGACATGATAAATACATCTATAGAAAGCTGGAAATGTCTACATTTGAATGAACAGATTCGACTGGAAAATAAATATATTCTCAGATTGTGTAATGTGCATCCACTACTGCGAAGATGACGAGTCAACATTGCGACTTAATATCTTTAGACACACTCATAATTCTTATGTTTGCCGGTACGCTGTGGCAAGCTGTATGTGTGCATGTGAGAGCTGATTAGGTTATGTATTTTATTTAGCCAATTATGGCGCATTATTAGATTTATGGCTTATTAATATAAACGCCCAATTAGTCAAATAATTCTCCAAATGAACGACTACTAGTCGGCTAGAAAAATCTTTAGTCGAAGGGATATTTATATATATAAATTGAGGGTGTAACAGTACATGGATTCGTCGAATACATACATACATTCAGTCACTGGTGATCCACACTCCAGTTCAGACGGGGGCGCGCATGGCAATGCAACACTGTTTGCTACCAGTAAAAAGAAAAGACGACCTATCGATATGTTTACATCTCTAAATCGGTGTTTCAACGGTGGAAAGATATCAATAAAACCACTTGAGAATAGGATCTCATGTAGCATTACATTTACCTCAGGCATTTAATGTCGACAACAGGTTTGTTCGCTAAAGAAATTAACTCTAGAGACAAGCATTTCGTATATGCACTTAGTCTATTCATTAAATTGACTTAAAGGGCACCTATTATGCCCCTTTTTAGAAGATTTAATATTGGTCTCGGGTGTCCCCAGAATGTATTTGTTAAGTTTCAGCTCAAAATACCCCACAGTTCATTTATTATAACCATTTGAAAACGTCATTTTTGCGCCCTGTTTTAAAATGAGCTGTTTTGAGGCCTACCACCTTCAATGCAAATGAGCTGCATATCCCCGCCCTGCCTTTGGATGAGGGCGTAACTTGATACCTATGGCAGTCGGTCTAATGCCTAGTTCACACTACATGATTTTAAAATGTCAGGCTGAACTGCAGTTCACACTACATGACTTGCTCTCAGTGAAATCATGAGTGTTCAAGTTGTTTAGCTGTTCACACCACACAACACAACGTGATTGATCCACAACAGGAGGTAACTCACTACACGAGTTAACAATGCACTACATAGAGATACAACCACGATCGGATGATAAGAGCATATCATTTGTGACTCAATGAGAGCTGTTTCAGTACTATAGTACGGTCTAAATCCTGAAAATAATCAAACAAATAACGAGTTGACAACAACACGATTCTATCTGGTCTAGAAACCATGTTTTGTCACGAAAAACCACGCAATAAAACGAACCAGAAATGACGCGAAACTGCAGAGAAGAACACAACACGCGAATATGGACGTCAGACAGAAACTAGTGCTGCACACTGTTTGCTCGACGATCTGCTCTGAGAAAAAAAATGCAAAAAAGAAAAAGTAAGATTTACCTGGTGTCCTCAACCCATGCGTTGCTATGATTGGCTGTACTCATGACATCACTGAGATTGAGTCGCGCGACTGCTCGAGATATCTAGCATGCTAGATATTTTTCTGAGCTCGGTGACCTGTCTGCGAGGTGTCTGCGAGCTGTCTTTGATGCGTTGTTGGCTCTTTCACACTAACGGATTGGCGAGCGTTAATCGTCCGCTAATCGCCCGCGATTTGCACGCGATAACACCCTGACTTGTCGGCGACTCAACGATTTGCAAATCGGGCTTAAATCGGGCTTAAAATCACGTAGTGTGAACTAGGCTTAAGCAGAAGGGCTGAGAGAGTGAGAGACGCGCTGTTTTGAATGTCATTCAGCGTACGTTTGAATCGGAATATGTAAGTAGTACGAAGAGACTCCGGCAGAATAAACACAAATGAGAATGGACCAGTACGTCTCGGTATGGTTATTTGATACATTTATGTACATATAGAGTTGTAATCGCGTCCCCTTTCCAAGTATGGGTGTGCAACACACACGCACAGACACACAAACACTAACGCTGGCGCAATATTTTGAAACTGCATACACATTCTGTGATAAAGTTTGCTACACATATTAGATATTAATATTAGAACAGCTCGTTCTGAGACAGTGCAGATGATTTATTGAGATTGTAAGAAAAACACTGGGTGGATTTTTTATCATTCTAGGGTGGTTTTGCTCACACACTGCCAACACACATTTATGTTCAAACACCATGCAAAAGTGAATTTTCCATAATAGGTGCCCTTTAACCTGTTAGTAGTGTCTTGATTACTTAATGTATAAATGATTTTATATATATATATATATATATATACTTGGTTTTGGCACAGAGCTAATATCACATAGCCATTGTAGGATTTCCAACTAGCAACTAAAATAGTTTGCAGCTTGTTGTATACAGTGAATACCACCATCTTTGTATGCTGTCGTTATTGCAAGCTTCATATGCTTTGAAGCTTTGGTTTGTGTCTGTGTCCTTGCACTAACATCTACTGTATATGCACAAATGAAATGATACTTGGCTGAGACTGTCTGCCATGGACAACAGATGCTGCCATGACTTTGTCCCCATCTGATTCATGTGCCTCTGAGCAGTGCCAGATTTGTTTGCTGGTAAATATGTCCCTGAAACTGTGCCAGACTGCCCATCCACTCACTCACTGTCTGGTTGTTGTTGTTTAGTGACACAGTTGCTGCAGCTGCCCATCCTTACAGGAGATGGCAAGTGAGATTCTGGCACACCAGCCAACTAATGTTCAGTTTACAGAAAATGTCCCCTTTATACTAAGTACATGTATTTAAAAAATCATGAAAAAATGATTCCCACAAAAATATAAAGCAGCACAGCCATTTTCAGTAATGAAAGTAAGAAATGTTTGTTGCACCAATCAGCATATTCCAATGATTTCAGAAGGATCTTGTGACACTGAAGATTGAAGTAATGGATGTTGAAAATTCAACTTTGCCATCAGAAGAATAAATTATATTTTAAAAATAGAATGAAATAGAAAACAGTTATTTTAAATTGTAATAAAATTTCTCAATACGAATCAAAATAAATAGTGCAGCCTTGGTGAGCATAAAAGACTTAAGAAACTTTTGAACGGTACTGTAAATTTGATTTTTAAGTGATTTCAATGTCGAGTACAATTTAGGTTAGTATTATTATAGCCTATTTTTTTTTTTTTTTTTTTTTTTAGATATTTTAGATATTTATTGTTTATTTAAATTTAGATATGCACACTTTTGCTTTATCGCTACTAGAACTACCACAGTTTTGGAGCTATGTGTCTTTCATTGAAAATGACCTAGAGACTTGTACTTTCCACATCCCATGTGAAAGTGTCTCTATGACGAAGTGGTACTGCTGCCGGCCCAGTTTATCAGTGGCCCACCAGGAGTTCTCCCGAATCTTCCGGGCCTGTACATATGCTTATATAATATAATACAGAATTTGCATTTGCAGCTGTACTAGTGGTTGAGTGCTACTTTTTTTTACATTGCAGAATGAAAGAGATTTTATTTTTGTGCAATTTTATCAATAAACTAAATCCTCAGTCTTTTGTTAAATTGTGAGTGTGAATTGGGTGCGGCACGACAGTGATTTGCCAGTGGCAGTTGAGCTTGTGTCATAGTTGTCAATTCTGGATTAAATTTAAGATTCTCATGTTTACATGGAGGGTGTAGTTCATCCAAAAATGGATGGTATTGGGATTTTTACAAATATGGAATTAAATGAAGTTGAGTAAAAGACGGCATTTGCTTTATGGGTTGGTTAATCATGTTTTTTTTTATATATATATATATATATATATATATATGAGTACCTCACTTAAATACTTGCGTGTTGACTGAGGTCTCCACTTCACAACTTTTTTTTTTTTTAGATTGCATCATTATGAAGAAACAGGAAAATAGTAAAATTCATTGCTGCGTTTTAATTTTTTTCCATCTAAATTATCCACCTAATGATGTGTAATGTAACACATCAGTGGGCATCTTTTCTTTCTTATTTTGTTTTCTTTTCATTTCTCTTTTTTTTTTCTTTTCTTTTTCAATGTATTTTCGTTTCATTTCCAGTCGTCCTGTTCATCACAGGAGAAGCTCCATCAGCTGCCTTTCCAGCCCACACCAGATGAGCTCCATTTCCTGTCCAAGCATTTCTACACAGAGAGCATTGTTGGAGACGACCACAGAAGAGTCACACCTATGCGACCACGCTCACGCAGTCTCAGGTAAGGGAGGCTTAGATTTTGTCTTTTACACTGATCTGTGATCTGTCTTTTTTCTGATCTTAATTCACATACCTTCTGCCCTATATAGTATATATAAATTACTTCTTCTCAAAGGTATTGAAAGTAGTACGCCAAAGATGGTATATGCTCTCTCTGCTAAAGAGTGTGTTACTGTTCTTCTTTAACTTTTAGAGCTTAATTGTAAAACCTATAAAGTTAAGTATGAAATAATTTACAATCAGCTGGTAATTTTTACTAAATAAACCTTGACAGAAACATGACTTGAAGCAGTGCTGTCTTATGAAGGGCTTTATGTTGGTATGAAGATGTTGTTGTAATATGTCAAAGTATTTACTTAATGAAGTATTGTAATCCTCACACATATACTACTATGCACTAAGGGGCGGTTTCCCGGACAGGGTTTAAATTAAGCCTGGAGTAGGCCTTAATCTAGAATAGTTAATCGTGTCTTAAAAAATGGCTTTTTGTTACACAGATTAAGTACAGATTAGTTACACTTGGACTATGGAGTCCTGAACTAAAATAAATCAGATTAAATTAAAACCAACTGTGCTAATCTGAATTAGCATGACAGAGGTTGCCTATAAAACACGGAATGAACCAAGAAAATCTTAAAATTGCATGGAACTGAGAAGAAAATCCAAGGAAAACAATGGCATCAGAAAAAGATTGCAATCAAAAAACATAAACTAACAAGAGAAAATTATTTTTATGCAAGCTAAATAATCTGCACACACCAGCTATGGAATAAAAGAGAAGAAATGTCGGAAATTTGTTTGTGTGTGTATATATATATATATATATATATATATATATATATAACAAAATACATATACATGTAAAATCAACAATGTACAACTAGAATCAATGATGTTCTTTAACAATGAATGGTTTTCATTTAAAATGAATTATTCAAACAACTCATATGCTTTAATTAATGCTTCTTGTTTATTCCTGTGATTTACATAACAAACTTACTAAAACATTACTTTACACATGTGGGGTTCAGTTTTGACAGTCTAGAAGCAATACTTTCAACTAGAGTAGTACCTAGGAGTTGCTTTATTAATTATACAACTTGACTTTTTGTAGCAGGTCCTCGATCCAAGGCTCAACACTGCAAATGGATTGCACTTTTGTATACTTTTTAGTGCACTTATACTGTAGGACTCTTTGATGTTATTTCGTTGTTATTTATAACAATGACAATAAAGAAATGAAATGAAATGAAAATGAACACTTCACCAAAACGGTAACCCCCCAAAATACTAACATAACATAAACGTTTAAATAACAACATAATAATAGAACATTAAACATTCTCTCTGTTTTCTCGTCTTAATAAAATAAAAAATTGCATAAAATATCCCTTTATTTCAAAATTTACATTTCAGCCCTGTGCAAAGCATGATGGGAAGTGAATGTCATGTATAGGTTACTAGATTAGTAAATTAAAACAAGTGAAGTCAAAGTTAAGTGACCATTTCAAGTTAGTTTAAGATGAACTAATCACATTTTAACAAGAAACCCGACACAATTAAAACATAATTAAATGATATATTAATATATGTACTGAATGTGTGTGTATGTGTGTATCCAAGTAATGCAGGTGTCTTCTTTGAAACACAAAGTTAATCTGAAATTAAACCTGCCTCCTGGTAGCTTTAATTTAAGACTCAATTTAGTCCTGGAGTAACTGTAGTCTTCCTCCAGGAAATCGGCTTATTAAACTCTAGACTAAACTAAATTTAGGACTATTTAAAGCCATGACATAGAAAGCAGATTTCTGTTAATCAGGTTTAAAGGGCCGTTTTATTCTAAGACTAGGCTTAATCTCTGTCCGGGAAACCGCCCCTAAAAGTATACGGATGTTTGCAAACTGCGACACAGCCCATCTGTTTCTTACCATATTAATATTGCGGTTTTCGTAAATAGTTTTGACATGACAGTTTATTGAAAAATATTTCTTCAATTACATTGAAAGTCCTGGAAGATCCCCATCATGCTGTGACCATGAGATTATCATGATGAATCATGTGTACAAAGAAAGATTTCCCAAGGTAAGTGTAACCTACTTTCACCAATTGACCTATGGCTAAGCCACGCCCCCTCCACTCACTCAGACAAACAACATTCGGAGACAGGCGCTATGGCACTATGGCATTCACAAGAGGGAATTGGTGATTTTTGGAGACAAAAAGATTATATATCATCTCGAAGTCACCTAAAGGCCCTTAACTATGCATTTGAGGGTTATATTAATAATTTTATTGTTGAGAAGGTCGATGAAAAGCTTCAGCTCCAGGCAAAAATGTACAGGTCAAAGTGCAAGAGTGATAAACCACATATCACAAATCATTCAGCACAACATTGTTAACATTTCTTGTCTCGGTTATTTACAGATACGTTAAGTGGCATAATGTGCAACGCAGCTAGAAGCTAACGTTAACGTTTTCTAATGTTAGTCTAACGTGAGCCTAATTACGTTAGAGATTTTAAAGATAATGTTCAAATACGTTGTTGACTTAAAGGTGACATATCATGCAAAATCCACTTTTTTAGCCCTTAAATGCATTTTGTTGTATATTTGCAGTGTTTATAAGTACAGAAAAGATGAAATTATTCTCTTCAGGTGCTTCGTTTATATCTTTATATTCTGTTTTGGTCATATTTTTCAACCTGTTCAGATTTTTCTGTTTTCTATGACGTTTTTTGACCTACAACGTCACCGTATTTGCAGCGGAACTGCCAAATAAGGACATTGACTACCGGTCCAAAACTTCGAGCAATCCGCCATTATTATTTCTCGCTCCGATTTTGTAGTTCGAGCTCAATGATGCAGAAGTTACGAGAGGGCAAGTCAAAATGTTCGGTTTTTGGATGTAGTGACCTGAAGCACTTCAAGGATTCCCACTTCAACAACCTCCGCCAGTAACGTTATACAGAAGGGTTTGCCGATTGACTTCGTCTGAATGAGAGGTAAATTCCTTCTATCTTTGGAGACGACGAACAGAGCATTTCGATAAGCTGTAAATATCGTTAATAAAAATAAAGTACTTTACTTTCTTAAAACACATGGTGGTCATGGTTTAGCAGTACCTTTGTCTTTCTTTGTTTTTGTTTTGAAGTAACGTTACACGTCTGCAGTAGTGAGTTTCATCAATGGTCATTTAGCTGCTTTTCTAAACGTATCATATTATCAATACAGATTGTTTGTGGTAAGATTAGACCGTAGTCATTTATCTTGTCAGTGTGCTTGTTTTAACAAGAGAAATAGTCGACTTTCACTAATAACCCAAAACAGTTTACTCCCATACCAATACATCCATATGAAGGTTGTTCTGCAGGTTCGTCGTCGTCTTTATCAACTCGCTCGCTCTGGCTCGAATATGTAAGGCTTGATGGACAAGTCTTCTGTTGTTGACATTTTATTAACGTGTGAATAAAAATGTTCTTTGAACGTATCGTATATAATCGTATATCTCTAATCAAACTACAATAATGGCCGAACGTGGGGAGTTGAACTGACCGTGAACTCATCGACCTGGAGAGCGGGCGGGGTATGACGCATCTCCTTTTTATTTAAAGGGGCCGCTTTAAAACGGGTCGCTCAAAGACGCACATCAGAAAAGGGGTAGAAAAGGGGCTTGTGGAGCTATAATAATGAGGAATTCAGACCCAAGCATTGCAGTTATGCTTTATATAGACCACAACGGTATGATTTATATGTAAAAATGAATGATTTAAAAGCATGATATGTACCCTTTAACTTAGAACAGATGTAGACATTCTTGTTTTATTTATCCACGTTTATTTGGTGTTGTGGTCGCACTATAACTTAATCGCATAACTTAATCCAGAGCAGACACTTATCTCGGTTGAGATCTGGCTTGGGAAAGGGTAAAAAAAAATACACACCGTCGCCCAGCCTCGCTCTCAGGAACACATTTGACCACTGACTAACTGCAATGCATTCCAATGGACGTGGAAGCAGAGAATGTCCGAGTGTATTGGGTTATTGAATGGCTCATCGCGTTTGAGGGCATGGCTTAGCCACAGGTCAATTATCTTCTGTGCCAAGTAATTGTATCTTTATTTGGAAATTCATTGTTGGTTTGTATTCTCCACCCTTCAGGCCACAGCTCAGATGGAGGAGCGCATCAAGGAGATCATCCACAGCAACTCCCCTGAAAACGTCTTGCCTCTGGCTGATGGCGTCCTCAGCTTCGCTCACCACCAGATCATTGAGCTGGCCAGAGACTGCCTTGAAAAATCCCGTCTTGGTCTCATTACCTCACGATACTTCTGTGAGCTCACAGATAAACTGGAAAGGCTCTTTCAGGAGGTAAATTATGGCATCAGAGACATTGTTTTCTTCATTCTTCTGAGCCAAAACTAACTCTCTATATTTAAAATACTTTTCCCCCTGTGTATTCTTCCATTTAGAATGTGTTTCTGATCAATGCGTTCAATGATGCACACATATTGATGGCCACTTGTGATGTGCTCTGTTATTGTAATGCAGTCGACTGAGCGATCAGAGAGTGCAGAGGTGACCTTCATCAAGGAGCTGGTAAAGAAGATTCTCATCGTCATTGCCAGGCCTGCGCGACTCCTTGAATGTCTGGTAGGTGGTCTACAAGAGTTGCTCAACAATGATATGGTCTGGCTCAATCAGCCTTGTGACTTCTGCTGTGATGTGCTTCAGAATACTGTTACTTTAGTACATTTGTACACATCAGATATTTACCAAACATTTCTTACAACTTGATCTATTTTATTTAAGAAGTGAGAATCTATTTGTACAGTCTGTTCAAAGTCGTGTTTTAAAGATAAATACTTTCTGTCTTGTAGGAGTTTGACCCTGAATAGTTCTATCATCTCATGGAGAATCTAGTTGTACAGTCTGTTCAAAGTCCTGTGTTAAAGATAAATACTTTCTGTCTTATAGGAGTTTGACCCTGAAGAGTTCTATCATCTCCTGGAGGCTGCAGAGGGTCATGCTAAAGAGGGCCAAGGCATCAAGACCGATATCCCACGATACATTATCAGCCAACTTGGTCTGACAAGGGACCCACTTGAGGGTAAGAGGACCTCAATTCATGGCTTTCCAGTTGTCTGGGTGCATCAATGGGCAGTTCACAAACTGTTTGGGGGCATATTGCACATAAAAATGCCAAGAATGGGCAGTTTCAATTTAATTGGCTGATTACTATAAAACACAATTTCCAAACGCAAAGTTCATCAGGAAATAAAGTTTTTCATCTGGCTGAATGTTTCCAATTAAGAATTAGTTCCTGAATTTTCCTGTTTGCATCAAAACTTTTAATAAGATAAGATGTTCACTCTGTCTGTTTATAGTTTTCATGTTTTATTGTTTAACAACATTGGACCACAGATGATTTAATTTGGCTTTTTTTTTTAACTGATCAACAAACAGTATTCTGTCATGACAAAATGAAACAAAATTAGTCAATTTATTAATTATTAAATACAAAATAATATTTTGCATATATATTCACCCATTCTAATTTGCATTTAATATATGCATTTTGTTAGTTATGGAAATCATTTTCAGGTCCTCTAGTAAATTCTCAATTGGATTGAGACCTGCATTCTGCTTTTTAATGGTCTGGTGTTGTAAAATAAATCATTAAAAGTCTATCAGTATAAATACACTTTATAAATACTTACTTTTGTTTTGGACAAATAGCAATTGTGCACACATTTTCTACTACTTTGATGTTATATTACAATTTACACTGCAGCACATGGTTCCAGACTGCGACCATTTTTGAAGAATGTGCGAGTTAAAATTGTATGTGGTCGCATTTGTGCAAGTGCATGTTCGTGCAACAGAATGCCATTGTATAAACGCACCAATTAGAAATTAAGTCATAATAAGAGTAAGTTAAATGTACAGTGTACGACATGTAAAAAAGACAAGAGGCTAACAATGTCAAGATCAATATTTGTGTTGCCTGACACGGTATTTTCACGCTGCATCCGTTCCAGGAGCTGTGCGTGCAGAGACCGTTTACACACAGAGTCTATTTCTGCTATGGCGTACGCGCTGCATTAAAGTGATAGCGCATAGTTTTTGTCAAAATGTAATCTCACCATAAATGAATTTAATTAAATACTATTTTTCACAGTCATCTTTTTACTGTTTAATAGTTTTTTTTTGAGAATATTTTGATTTGATAGTTTTATTAATTAAAACCATTTTGCTAACTTACAAAATTGTGGTATGTGGATCAAGACCACTATTCATCAGCATGCATTGATTAATCCCATGGCATGTAGCAAAAAAAAAAAACAGTAACCAAATCATATGCTGGTGCAACCAACTGAGAAAGTTTGTAGCACCAGTGCAACCAGTGGAAAAGTTGGTCTGGAGCCCTGCAGCACAAATGTTCAAAAGGGCTACTGATTTGTTGTACACCAGTTTATTGTGATCTCATTCGTTTAACATTTATTTGCCCCTGAACTTCACGCCAGGTCACACCATGAGGCTTTAAAGGTTTTACTTTTACAGGTCACAATCTTAAAGGACAAGTTCGGTATTTTACAATTAAAGCCCTGTTTTAAGATTGTTTCTGATTAAATAGAATGGTTAGGATTGTTTTTTAGACAGATGCTGCGGTCACAAGAATTTTTGGTTTCTGTGTTAGCATAGGTGCACTGGAAAATCATTCATAAAAATCCATAACAGTTTACAAAGACGTGAAACTCACCGAGTGGTCTGGGGTGTTCACTGATATGCTCACACAAAAATCACTGCAAAAGATGCCTTCCAACAGGTTTTATCGTAGTTTTTGTACAACTCCATTGACTTGTATTGTATGTTCTGTGATGTCCGTTATTACTCCGCCGCTTGGAAACGGAAATGGCCTTGTTTGTATTCTTTCTGTAGTTTATGCAGTCGCGTGCATACTGTAGGTCGCGTGTATACAAGTGGTTTGCTTGCATTTGGCAAAGTTGCATTATCGCCTCCAACTGGGCTGGATTGTCTATTATTCAAGCTCTCAACTGAAGAATGTCCGGCCGTGAGGTGTTCGGAAAAATAGTGGCGCTTTTCCACTGCATAGTACGGTACGGTTCGGTTCGGTACGGCTCACTTGTGGTGCTTTTCCACTGCATGGTACGGTACAGTACGGTTCGCTTCGGGTCGCTTTAAATGGTACCTGGTCTGTTGAGGTTCCAAGCGTACCGTACCGGTACTAAAATGTGACGTGAAACACTGTAGATCACTGATTGGTCAGACAGAATCGTCACTACCAGCGTCACTACTAGCGTCATTGGATTTGCGACACGAGACACTTTTTTAGCAGTATTTTTGTTTTGCTGCCATCAGCCTCATTTTAAACACATTTTTCCGTCTAGCAGTTAAAAACAACCACATACCGAGAATCAGGAACACCATCCCTCAATAGGCTCCATTGTTCCTGTGTTGTGGGTTTGAAAATGTGGCGCTTTTAAGATGATGTCATGGCAGTAGAGGCGCGCGCAAATAACGATCAGTCCCACACACTTTGAAGGGGTACTACTGCAGTGGAAAAGCAACAGAGCTAAGCGAACCGAACCGTACCGACTCAAAACGTACCACGCAGTGGAAACGCGAAGCGAGCCGAACTGTTCCGCGCAGAGTCGAACCGTACTGAGCCGAGCCGAACCGTACCGTACTATGCAGTGGAAAAGCGCCATAGGTCTACAGTTTTATAACGAATGGTAAAACACCTATTGGAAAGCATCTTTTGAGGCGATTTTTGTGTGAGCATATCAGTGAACACCCCAGACCACTCAGTGAGTTTCAAGTATTTGTAAACTAAAGTTTTATGCGTTTTTATGAATGATTGTTCCAGTGCACTAGGGGTGTGCAAAAAAATCGATTCACATTTGAATCGCGATTCAATCTTTACCGATTCAGAATCGATTCATAGAATTCCAAAAATCGATTCATTTATATAGGCTATATTTTTTAATGGCGTGCAGGGGCGGAGTGGCAATCGGGTGAGTTGGGACTTTTACCGGTGGTCCGGTAGGCTAGTGTTTCTATGGTTTTGAGGCTGCGAGGGCCGGTCTGATAAATAGTTATTGCAAGTTCTTGCCGCCCGCTGGTCAAACTGTGCAGCCACTCTGCTCAACCCGTAAATAAATGCATCAATCCGCAGATCTTATGTTTGAGTTCTGTAGATCTTTTGCCAAGCGTGTCAGAGGTTACGGGTTCTAAACCACACTCGTATAGTTTTTTCTCTCTCTCTCATCAAAACCGAATATGTTCATCACGTTTGTGTGCATTTTATTTTGAGATTTCACCGGAGTCTCCACAACGGCGATAGATTGAAGCGCGCGTCCGAGAGAAGACTGCGCGAGCCACAGAGAACACTGTATCCATGACACTGATCGCAGTGGACACAAGCGCTCAGCTTGATTTCAAAAACAACAGGTCTCTTATTTAATAGCGAACTAAATGAATGCTCTGCTAGTTAACTGGAGATACCCGCAAATTACACGCCAATGAACGACTTCACTGGATCTAAACAAATCAATCTAACCATAGATGTTACCAGTAGCGGTGGCTTTTTTAAATCTATTTAAAATATTTTCGCAAGGGTTCTATGAAATTAGTATTTATTTTTAGGAAGTTCAATGTGCCCATTCGAGTTCACATTTCAACATGGTAGCTGAAGTAGGCCTACTGCTTAAACCACATTTAGCATAATTGTTTGTTTGATCTGACTACAGCACTTTAAAGCTAAATGTAAAAGCTTTTTATTTAAGTTTTATTTTAAACTTGAATTAAATGTATTTAAAAGCTGGCCAAAGCTTGGCACTTAATTTGCACTTTTTAGTTGCAGAAGTTTTTATTTTTGTATGAAGACATATAAAGTAATAACAAACTTTTCTTTTAAATTATGTCTACTGTAATCAATCACATAGGAAAAAGTAAACTACATTTATATAGACCTGCGAATCGTTTTTTTGAATCTAGAATCGTTTTTGAATCGAAAATCGATTTTGAATCGAATCTCGAGACAAAAAAAATTGGTATCGAATCGAATCGTGACATTTTCTGAATCGTGCACCCCTACAGTGCACCTATGCTACCATTATAAAGGTGGGGGGGTGCTAACACAGAAACCGAAAATTCTCGTGACAGCAGCATTTGTCTAAAAAACAATCCTAACCATTCCATTTAATCAGAAACAATCTTAAAACAGGGCTTTAATTGTAAAATACCGAACTTGTCCTTTAAGTGCTGTATCTATGCATTTTATGTTTAAAGTCAGGAGCCTACCTGCAGAAAATATGATTTGTATCCTTTCTTTTGTGTTTTATTTCTTGTAATGTTAGTGTGTAATGTTATCTGAAAGCCTTTTATGGACACAAAATTCTGTCACGAATCTCTGAATTTGTACTCAAGACTATCATTATTGGTAATGAGAACAGAATATGCCCATAGACCTTGATGCCTCAGTCTTGCCAAAGCAGTGTTGGTTACAAAGCCCTCTAAGGCTTTCTAATCCTCTGAGAACATCCAAATCATTTAGTGTGATGGTTGGAAATGGAGATAGGCAGCTGTTGTTAGGGCTTTCTTGTGGGCTTAGTTCTATTTAGAGACAGCTGAACGACCCTCCAGTTCATTACCTCCTGCTGTTCATCGGTTACTTTTGTAGACTCCTGAGAACTGCATCACTGGGATTTGCTTAGAGTGGCAGTTTTTTAGCTTAAATGTTTCATGATGTGTGTAGATTTGATTGTTGATTTCCACACCATTTAACTCATTTACAAACCTCAGCAGTCAGCTCTACTAAGTTACTCTTTTGGAAAAAGTGACTGGTTTTGACTTTCTTTCTTTTTTAGTCATTCAGGGTCAGAAATGTTCCTGCTAATGGAAAAACATTCTGCACAGAAGACCGTTTCACAAATATACATAATGGGGGAAAAAGCTTTCTTGAATCAGCTCTCTACTGTCAAAATATTTTGTTCAATGATTTAATAATAATATATTGACCCCTGAAACACCTTTTTGTAATATCGATTTGGAGAGGAGGGGGGCCTTGGAGTGAAAAAGGTTGAGAACCACTGCTTAAAATTAGCATCTAATTATTTGTCATTGTCTTTCAGAAATTGCCCAGTTAACTAGCTACGACAGTGGGATTGCAGAAACCCCTGAGACGGACGAGTCTGTCAGTGTAAGTGCTTTGATCTAAAAACATTACCCAAGACAGCAAACTAGTGAACTACTGTAATGATAAATGTTATTAAGAAATTCATGGAATATAAAACAGATAACCAATTATGATATACTGTAAGAGAAAAAAATAAATTCAATTTTTAGTTACACTTCGAGGTGTCTTTGTTACAGTGTAATTATACATTTTAAGTACTGAGTAATATTAATTAACTACATGTACATGTAAGGTTAGGATTTAGGTTTAGTTTTTTGTTTGGTTTGCTTGTTTATTACATATGTAATTCATAGTCATTACTACAGTAACTACATATAACGTGTAACAAGGACACTAAAATAAAGTGTTACCTCATTTTCCAGAATAAAATCAAATGTAAGGAAGACATACACAACTATTTTTACAGTTTGAGAATTCTGATTCATTTGCTATTAAAAGTCTACATAACACATATCCCACAGTCCCACAGTTTGAGTGCAGCACTACGGTCCCGGCGCAAACCCTGTGAGCTCGACTTTGAGATGATCAAACTGATCAGTAATGGGGCTTATGGGTAAGTGACAGCGAATTATAAGGTGAATGTTTAGCACTGTATACTACATTTTGTTTCACATCCTATTTTAAACAAATGGTTTGCAGTACATACAGCACATACCCCTTCTCCACCAAAAAAGAACGGGTTCGGAACTGGTGCTGGTTCAAAGTTGGTTCAACTTGCGACTCTTCTCAGAACCTGTTTGTTTTTCCACTGACTACAGAGCCCAGCGAATGTTTTGCTCTCTCTCCCTCACGCATATTAATCAAAATCAATTGAAACAATAGTAACAGGTCGGAAGACCGCAGTTTCATGTGAAGCATTTGGAGTTTTCTCCTGAATTACCACGGTCTGTGAATTGTGGTAAAAAAAAAAAAAAAAACACGTTGCATATCTTCTCTAAAAAGCGTTCCGAATGCCCATTCAACTGACATAAACCACATTTTAATAAACGAAAAAACCTATCCAGTGATTAAATGTTTTCTGTATTGACGCAAATCTTGCGCTGTGTCCTAAACTGCGAGATAATCACACAAGCTGGACGTCCACTAATGACACGTCCGATATGCAAACAACTCATTTCAATCTCTCACTTTAATACATAGTTAAAACAACTGACATGTCCAACACTGAATCACGAGACCTCTGAAACGGTGTATAAAAAATCGGTAACACTTAATTAGATTAGTTAACTGTTAATAAACTGCGCTAAACTACAACATTGTTAATGTTAATTTCAATATTTAGAGAGTCTATAGGCCCACTATATGTATAGCAGCCATTAAATAAGCGCATTTAGTTTCATTTTTTTTACATCTATGCTGATTATGAAAATTGAACAGCATGAGTAAGATGCGAAATATATCTGAAGATTTGATGGGTCAGACATGATTTTGACCACTAAATTAAGTTTTGTTTTGTAGAAAGCCTTTCTTTAAAGGGCACCTATTATGGAAAATTCACTTTTACATGGTGTTTGAACATAAATATGTGTTGGCAGTGGCGTGAGCAAAACCACCCTAGAATGATAAAAATCCACCCAGTGTTTTTTATTTATTTTTATTTATTTTTTTACAATCTCAATAAATCATATGCACGGTCTCAGAACGAGCTGTTCTAAGATTCAGCACTTTGTGACGTAGAATTGAGCAAGGGGTTTGATTGACAGTGTGGTTGTAGCATAGACCCTGCCCTCTGTGATCTGTACACCATCCTCCATTGTTTCAACAACAGCCGGTAATGTCTCCTAGGCCTATAAGTGTTCTGTTGTGGAATGGGATGTAATAATGACATACATAGTAGTTTTCACATATTTCCGACATCAGAGCCACTGAAAACACAGTGGATGTATTGTATTTTGGAAGTTTAAGAGGCGCCTTTCCTTTGTAAGTAAGTTTATGTTTGAGAGAATCATTTTCTTACTGACTCTTTTGTGAACGAGGGTCAATTGAAAGCAGGTCTTGCTTCATAGTTAATCCTCAAGTGTGGATAGCCGTCTATTGTTTGCGATCCAACGACATCTCCAGTAACAGTACGTTTATTTTATGATTTTTGAGCAAATAGGCATTTCAGTCGATGTCAGCCAATTCAACAACAAATGCGTCTAAAGTTGTTGTCCTCGTAGGATGTCTGTGTATATAATTTAAACCTTGTTTGTATAGTGTGTAACCACACGTTTCTAAATATATATATATATGTATATATTATATAGATATTGTATTAAAAACTGCATATATGATCTTGTTGTGTAAGTTAGCCATCTTCTCACATTTGCCACAGAAGTACCTGTATGACAAGGAAACATTATGCAACAGGCCCCTCACATAAATGTAATTTCGCTTGTACGTAGCAAACTTTATCACAGTATGTGTATGTAGTTTCGAAAAATTGCGGCAACGTTAGTGTTTTTGTGTGTCTGTGTATGTTGCACATCCATAATTTCAAAGGGGATGCGATTACAATTTATATGCGATTTTATATATATATATATATATATATATATATATATATATGTGTGTGTGTGTGTGTGTGTGTTTTTGGTCAAACCATCCCCAGCCCCCGACGTAAGGGTGATGTGATAAAAGAACGGTTCTCTGGTTCTAGTCCAGCAAAGATTTTTCCAGCAAAGCAATTTTCCTGGCTGAGAATCGTTTTTTTAGCTGTCGAAACACAAAGAACTGGTTCGCGATTAGGCACCGGCTCCGAACCGCCACTCAAAATGCTTTGGTGGAACAGGGGTAACAGTAGGCAAATTCATAATAATCCTTTCAAAGCATAGTGCTTTAAAGCAACACCAAGTAAGATTTTTTTTTACCTTAAAATAATGTTTCCAAAATCGTTTCAGTGGTTCATTAAGTCGTAACAGCATTAAAGGCACTTCTGGATTTGCTTTGCGGTCCTATATCTGCTATAACAACACTGTGTAAGATTGCCAGATCGGGTCGAGTTTCTGGAGTTCTAATGAGACATTAGAAAACTCCAAACTTGCTTTACGTCAGGCGTTACAATAGTCATTATTTAGTTTTTCTTTGTGTATGATGTCGCAATACATCATACTTTCACAACCTTGTCTGTGGACATCGTTCATTCCAAAACCGTTGCTGAATAAACAACAAGCATGCATGCGACAGTAGGCTGTGGTAGGCTAAATTATATACGACAGCAGTAATGGACAATTCCACTTCCAACCTGTAGGCCAACCTGTAGGAAAAGTTACTTGGTGTTGCTTTAAATTAGTTACGCTTGTTACCATATGTTAAATTTTCATACACATGCCTGTTAATTTAATCCAAGAATGTTGTTTTTTTCCATCACAGTGCGGTGTATTTAGTGAGACACAAAGAAACGAAACAACGCTTTGCCATGAAGAAGATCAACAAGCAGAACCTGATGCTCAGGAACCAGATCCAGCAGGCCTTTGTGGAGAGAGACATCCTGACCTTTGCTGAAAACCCTTTTGTGGTCAGCATGTACTGCTCCTTTGAGACACGCAGACATCTATGCATGGTTATGGAGTATGTTGAAGGTAAGCTGTAACTCATGCACATCATTTGCAGTGCTGGAGATTGTTACTTTTGAAAATAGTTTCATTATCCTGTTACTACTAATAAAAGTTAAACGTACAGTATGCGATTTTTGGCCACCAGGTGTCACTCGTTTTCGTTTAAAATAATAACAAAAGACGTACTTTGATGACGTCGGGAAAGAGCGTGGGCTCACGGGAGTTGTTGTCGCTGTCAATGACAACCAGCTCAGCTCATGACATGACATCATCGTTTCACAAAATATACGGATATACGGCATCTCTCTGTAGATTTAGCTTGTCAAGAAGCTTTAAATGCAACCCCAATGTTTACCTGTGTCATGCGTCTTCTGTCCCAAACCCTTCTCGGGTCATTTTTTTCGGGTACGTTTGAGCTTTAGCTAATGAGCTGGCTGTAGCAGCAGAACGTGCAGGCAAAGCGTAATCGTGGTCCATAACTATAATACAGACGAATATAAATATTAATATTACGCTCCTTCAATAAATGACCTATTTTAGAACATTTTTCATATATAGGGCGCACCGGATTATAAAGCACATAAGATACTGCAGTCAAACGTTTGACTGGGTTTGCGTTATTCATCCACTATGTGCTAAAGGCTAAAGGGAATGTAGTGAGTGCGCGGCGCCGGAGGTGAGGCGTTTATTTAGTAAGCATGAGCGCGCTGATCCGGGCACGTACATTCGCAGCCTGACTCATATGAGTATTCAATGTGCGCGGCTCGCTAACAGCAACAGTTGGCTGTTTTGAATGAGACGACACGGTTACTGTGAACGGGGAGCGCTTTATGCGCGAGCAGCACCGGGGACAGTGTCTGTTAAGAGTGAGCGCTCGTGAGCGGGCACGTGATTTACACACAAAAAAATACGTACTATTTTTTTTTTCTTCGTCATTTTGTGTTTGGCGGTTTCGCGGGTTCCGCAAGGAAGTTAGAGAAAATAGAGGAGTCAAAGGTTATATGACGCATAGACGGGCGACGAAACGGAAATAAAGAAACGTCCCGTGTCTTCGAATTAAACTATAAATTTCTCCGTATTTGAAAGTTGGTGGAAAATGTCGGGATAATGTAAGTACACATCTAATAGAAATATATAACATAGATACAGTTATTTTTGCTATTTTTAAAGCAGAAAAAATACATATTGTGGCTTTAAAAAGTACATTACATGGCTATATTTTATGATCGTAACATGTTAACCGGGATGCAGGGTGACCAGGCACCAATAAATAAAATGACCTGGTAATAGTAATGGAACTATATTTAACATTTGGAAACCACCCTCTACGTCTTAGACCAGCCTGACATTTCTATAATCTCCATTTATTAAAGTATTTACACACAATGATGTACATAAATTTAATAGAAAAGTAAATAACTTTTCTTTTTTTCAAAAATTAACTTTAATTAAGTAAGTAGCATTCCTTTTTATAAAAGCATTATCAAATAATATAAAACAAATTTTGGAAAGTACAAAGTGCTTTCCCATGAACCAACAAATATATTTGACTTTCAAATATGCAAACAAATGTAATGTATTTATGCAACATGTGCTCTATGTAAAATACCATTAGCACTTACATTGATATAAAATGTACACAGTTTTAAGGAGGCAAGCCAGAGTTCTTTGCAGCATTCATTTGTACATTTCCTATCCCGACAGGAGGGGATTGTGCTACATTGCTTAAGAATATGGGTCCTCTCCCTGTGGACATGGCCAGAATGTACTTTGCTGAGACTGTGTTAGCCCTGGAATATCTCCACAACTATGGAATCGTCCATCGAGATCTCAAACCAGACAAGTGAGCTACTCAAAAATTAAACTGATTCAAAGTACTTTTGAGTTGGTCAGATCCTGTTAGCTGGTACAAGCAGCCAGTGGACCTGGTTTCAACCGAGCATGTACTGTAGATCACATTGGACTGGCAACAAATCATCTATCAAGTTCTTGGCATCCTAAGCTGATATGACAGTTTGTTTGTTTTTTTCAGCAGGGTTTTGCTCTGATACTGCTAATACATGACTAATTATTTGTCGTATTGTCTCCCGTGTTATTACTTTACGACAGTTTGTTGGTCACTTCAATGGGACACATCAAGCTGACAGACTTTGGCCTATCGAAAGTTGGTCTGATGAACATGACCACTAACCTCTATGAGGGTCACATCGAGAAGGATGCTAGAGAGTTCTCTGATAAACAGGTACAGATCCAATTCTCGATGGAAATCCTGAGAACTTGATATGTCATTTGAAATCGCATTGTCATTGGCATAAACTCTATTATTGATACCTGCTCTAAAGATTTGGGACCAGTTGCATTAACACACCCACTGTGTCTTTAGTCTGACCAACTAGCAGTTAACCAAGATGTTCAATTCAAATCATTTCATTTCAATTCAAATCTGAAACGTGAGACATTTTTGGATAAACGATTAAAAAGCTAAGACCAAAGAAGAAAAAAAAGACTTATTAGATTAGTCTAAGCAGTTTATGCAGGTTTTCTCTGGGTTGTAACATCTGCAAACATTTCTCTAGGTGTGTGGGACTCCTGAATACATTGCTCCAGAAGTGATCCTAAGGCAAGGCTATGGGAAGCCTGTGGATTGGTGGGCAATGGGTATCATCCTTTATGAGTTTCTGGTGGGCTGTGTACCATTCTTTGGAGACACTCCAGAAGAGCTGTTCGGCCAGGTCATCAGCGGTCAGTCGCATTCTGAATTCCTGTTATGCAATACATTCTAGCTTCATGCAGCAAGAGCTTTAGCATGTTGTGTTGCGTAGTCTCAATTTAGCTTCTTATTAATGCTAAATCAATATCTCATAGGATCAGCAAAAGACCCCACAGATATGACAGTCTCCTGTTCTTATCCTCCACCTGTCATTCTGTAAATCTGGATCTCTCTGGATTTGTTCTCATGAAACAGGAATCAGTACCATTAGTGTTAGTTTTTTTGTTATAAGGTTTACCGTGGGTGTGAGGCTTAATTAATGAGCACAGCTAGCTGCTATTGCTCTGGGCTTGGATGCATATTAATGCTTCTTAATTGAGGCACATGTTGCTGTAGAGACAGTTGGAAAATAAATAAGTACAGCTCTTCATTTATATACCCCCCCCCCCCCCCCCCCCAGCCTTTGAGCTCAGTTTTCTTTTCTTCGTTTTCTTTTTTAACTTGGTTGATTTACAATTGTGTCAAGGGCCTGGTCTTTTATTATTGTAAAATGCCAGATAACTAATGAATACTTGAAATTCACTTACTTTCCTAGAATTGATGCATGATAAAGTGGATATTAGGATGTTTTATGTATGCCTCTTTATATGTAGAAGGCATTTTTATGCATTTTAATAATCACATTTCATTCTGTATTCATTAGTCTGGTGCTGTGCATGAGTGAAAGGTTCTGTGTTACAGTGGAGGTGTTAAAGCTTTCATGTTGAATGAAAAGTAAGGATTTTTTGTTTTGTTTTCTTCCATTTAGTCAATGAGGATGAAACTGTTTGCTTCTTGTCTTAGATGAAATAAACTGGCCGGAGGGAGAGGAAGCTCCACCAGCTGATTCTCAGGAGCTGATCACCCTACTGCTCAGACAGAACCCTCTGGAGCGCCTCGGCACTGGTAAGGGTACAAAGTACTTGCAACAATATTTGCCAAGCACCAAAAGTGAGTAAAAATTGCTTTTGGCAAGTAAATATGTCTAATTGGCCATTAAGGTATTTTAGATATGTTTGTGTTGCATAGTTAAATCCCATGGAAAAAACATTCAAAATAAATGAATATTCCAAAACAAAATTACATATTTGAATTTACATATTATTTCTTGTTTGTCCCTTAATAATATATGCCATTTGGCCATTAAAACAGATGCCGCCTCACAGTTCACTCACAGGCATAATCCATAATCTCTTTGATATTTCTTATATGCACCCACCCATATAAAAAAAGCTAAATCCAGCTGTTTTAATTGACCACCAGTGAGAGTTTAGACAATTTTGTCCACATTAAAATCTCTAGTGACACAAAAAGATTCCAGTGGCATGTTTCTGGCATTACTGGAAGTGAAACTGTAGCAGTGAAATGCAACAAAATCACAACTAATGTCTATTAAATTTTTTTAAATGTAATACCCAAAGTAGACATACTGTGGAAATAGAATGTATTGGCTGTTGCTTTATCGTTCATGTTAAGTTTTTCTTGAATGCGATTGGATGTATATCTTTCAGCAGGTGGGGCGTATGAGGTCAAGCACCACCAGTTCTTTCACAGTCTGGACTGGAACAGCCTGCTGAGGCAGAAGGCAGAGTTCATCCCCCAGCTGGAGTCTGAGGATGACACTAGCTACTTTGACAGTGAGTGACAGCAGGAGTGAAGTCATTGTCCTTCATGGTCCATGCAGGCTGAGTAGGGTGTCTTGTTTTGTATGTCTTTACAGAGGATCAGATGTTCCCGAACTGATAGATTGCTCACATATTAGTAAAGCACAGTTGGTTGATGATATGATTCTTGGTCATTTGTTTGGAGACATTTCAATACTTTGCTCTTGCTTAGTAGCCTGGCTGCGCCCTCCTACGCACTTCCGCTCAATTTCATTTTCCTTCGGTACTGCGTCTGGCACTGCTGTGTATCCTTAGGTTTCCAGAAATAAATTTTTTGTAGGACCAATCAGCGAATAGAGGGAGTGGCTTAGAACGATGACGTTGATGTAGCGCGTCAGTTTGTGTTCAGTAATGGCAGCGAAGAAAGACGTGAGAAAAGCTATTCGGTCCGTTGTTGGAAAAGAAACTGCTGAATATACAGAATTTAAAGCCGGATTGTTATCGTCTCACCTCTTGTTGCACAACGGAGGACCAAGTGAAGGAGGCAGAAAGGTTGGAAGTTTGTTCTGGGCAGCTCATGCACGATGACCGTGACATTTTGGACGGACTTTTTAGCCTGGTGTTCGGAAGCCCCAAGACCTGGCTGCTAAACTATTGTTAAAGATCCGCTCAGTGGTGTAGTCTAGTTTTTTGTAGTGAGTATACTGTGATATACCAGCAGCGCTAACCATCCACCCAACCCCCCCCCCAACTCAATATAGGCTTTTCATTCATGGGGTCAACTGATAGGTGGATTTTCCCTATGAATAATTTTTCTCGGACACGTTTATTCACTGAAAGCTAGGTAATTAAGTTTATTAAATGCATTCAAAACAAATAGGCTACACATTCATTATTGATCTTATGACTACAGGGCCGTAGACAGGGCTTTATAATCAAAGAGGTCCTAAATTTGAGGTTGGTGCTTCAAATTTTTTAAATTTCTCTGATGTGCATTTCAAGATGTTTGAAGACCAAAAAAAGGATAAGAAATAGCTTTAAAACCATGTCAGTGGGCACATTCTCTTCCCCTCCGAAGGCTGAGCTTTTTTAATGCACTAAAGGCTACGATTTTTATTATATTCTCAATATGTACACATTCATTATTACTCTTGTGGCTAAAATGATGAAAACGGCTTTGTTAATGTTGCTTGTCCCCTCGCAATGAGAGTAAACTAATAAATTGCATGAGTCACGTTACAGGCCTATTTATTTCAGTTAAAAATGACGAAATTAGACAACTATATTAGTTTGCCTGGTTATTTTTTTTTGTCATTCGTTTAATATTTATGACCTAAAAAATTTAAAATATGAAGTTTAGCCACTTGCATCTTATCTCGCACTTGCCCGTAAACTGAAGGGTCGAGTTGCTCTGCTGAAATTCGCGCTCAGCGTCTGTGAACATAAAGCCCGCCTACTTTGATTTGATTTGTCATCTCAAATATTCTGACATTGACGAGCGGTGACAGACCAATGAGGCTCAGATGAACACGAACACACACACACACCCTGTCCTCTGTTTTTGACGTGCTCTCTGCTCGCGCGCTGAATCTGATAACAGAACTTAAGGGAGCACGGAATTCTGTCGCCAATGTTTAGGGGGGCTGATGTTGTAGGAAATTTAATTCAGAAAACGATGTCGTTACGAATCCTCACGCTTTTTAAAGTGGGCATACGGAGATCTTTGACATTTCCTAGTGGGCATACGCAAATCCTTGACATTTTCTAGTGGGTATACGGCGTATACCTGCGTATCACGTAGACTACACCACTGGATCCGCTCAGGAGTCATGTTAGTAGTCCAGATTCCCAACAGTAAATTTACTGATTCTTGTGATGAATAGAACATTTTGAGCCCCTTTGTGTGCTCATGCAGGAGGTTGGTGTGTCAGTTTTACATGTTGTAAATCATACAAATTGGTTGTGATTTTTTTTTTAAATAATTGTCATAAATAAAAATGTGAAAACCCATACTTGGATGACTATATTTGATTTTCAGTTTTAGATGGCAATGGTTTATTTGTTTTAATAAAAAAAAACTAAATGCCGTATAAAAATGTATAAACACATACAAACCCGATTCCAAAAAAGTTGGGACAATGTACAAATTGTGAGTAAAAAAAGAATGGAATAATTTAGAAATCTCATAAACTTATATTTTATTCACAATAGAATATATATGACATATCAAATGTTGAAAGTGAGACATTTTGAATTGCCATGCCAAATATTGGCTCGTTTTGGACTTCATGAGAGCTACAAATTTCAAAAAAGTTGGGACAGGTAGCAATAAGAGGCCAGAAAAGTTAAATGTACATATAAAGAACAGCTGGAGGACCAATTTGCAACTTATTAGGTCAATTGGCAACATGATTGGGTATAAAAAGAGCCTCTCAGAGTGGCAGTGTCTCTCAGAAGTCAAGATGGGCAGAGGATCACCAATTCCCCCAATGCTGAGGCAAAAAATAGTGGAGCAATATCAGAAAGGAGTTTCTCAGAGAAAAATTGCAAAGAGTTTGAAGTTATCATCATCAACAGTGCATAATATCATCCAAAGATTCAGAAAATCTGTAACAATCTCTGTGCGTAAGGGTCAAGGCCGGAAAACCATACTGAATGCCTGTAATCTTCGGGCCCTTAGACGGCACTGCATCACACACAGGAATGCTACTGTAATGGAAATCACAACATGGGCTCAAGAATACTTCCAGAAAACATTATCAGTGAACACAATCCACCGTGCCATTCACCGTTGCCGGCTAAAGCTCTATAGGTCAAAAAAGAAGCCATATCTAAACGGGAACCAGAAGCGCAGGCGTTTTCTCTGGGCCAAGGCTCATTTAAAGTGGACTCTAGCAAAGTGGAAAACTGTTCTGTGGTCAGACCAGATGAATCAAAATTTGAAGTTCTTTTTGAAAAACTGGGACGCCATGTCATCCGGACTAAAGAGGACAAGGACAACCCAAGTTGTTATCAGCGCTCAGTTCAGAAGCCTGCATCTCTGATGGTATGGGGTTGCATGAGTGCGTGTGGCATGGGCAGCTTACACATCTGGAAAGGCACCATCAATGCTGAAAGGTATATCCAAGTTCTAGAACAACATATGCTCCCATCCAGACATCGTCTCTTTCAGGGAAGACCTTGTATTTTCCAACAAGACAATGCCAAACCACATACTGCATCAATTACAACATCATGGCTGCGTAGAAGAAGGATCCGGGTACTGAAATGGCCAGCCTGCAGTCCAGATCTTTCACCCATAGAAAACATTTGGCGCATCATAAAGAGGAAGATGCAACAAAGAAGACCTAAGACAGTTGAGCAGCTAGAAGCCTTTATTAGACAAGAATGGGACAACATTCCTATCCCTAAACTTGAGCAACTTGTCTCCTCAGTCCCCAGACGTTTGCAGACTGTTATTAAAAGAAGAGGGGATGCCACACAGTGGTAAAAATTAGCCTGGCTGCGCCCTCCTACGCACTTCCGCTCAATTTCATTTTACTTCTGTACTACGTCTGGGATCGCTCCATATCCTTAGGTTTCCAGAAATCAATTTTTTGTAGGACCAATCAGCGAATAGAGGGAGTGGCTGATAAAGATGACGTTGATGTAAGCGCGTCAGTTACAGTTTGAGTTCAGAAATGGCAGCGGAGAAAGACGTGAGAAAAGCTATTCAGTCCGTTGTTGGAAAACTGCTGAATATACATAATTTAAAGCCGGATTGTTATCGTCTCACCTCTTGTCGCACAACTGAGGACCAAGAGAAGGAGGCAGAAAGTTTGGAAGTTTGTGCTGGGCAGCTCGTGCACGATGACCGTGACATTTTGGACTGACGGTTTAGCCTGGTGTTCGGAAGCCCCGAGTCCTGGCTGCTAAACTATGGTTGAAGATCCGCTCAGGAGTCATGTCAGTCGCTCATATTCCCAACTGTCAATTTACTGATTCTTCTGATGAATAGAACATTTTGAGCCCTTGTGCACTCGTGCAGGAGGTTGGTGTGTCAGTTTTACATGTTGTAAATCATACAAATTGGTTGTAATTTAAAAAAAAATAATTGTCATAAATAAAAATGTGAAAAACCATACTTTGAAGATATTTGATTTTCAGTTTTAGATGGCAATGGTTGATTTGTTTTACTAAAAAAAACTAAATGCCACATAAAAATGTACAAACACATACTTTGAAGACCATAATTAAGGTAATTAAGAAACAATAAGACGTAATATGAAAAATTGTTGTTTATTACACATCTGCAGATAGAGACAAGACTGATCATTCACTGTAGCTGCTACAGCATTTGCGGCAGATCAGAAAACGACCACAGCGGCGTATTTGTAATGATTAGACACAGCTTCCACCGTTGAATGAATATATCACTGTGTCAAATATACATTTCGAATTAATAATTGTTCCTAGATTAACAAAACCTGCGGCGCTCGTTGACTGAAATCCTATTGTAAACATAATCCTCTGATCATTCGGACTTTTTTTTCCAGCCATTTCGGCGCGTGACATACGTCACTCACGACACCCCGTTAGCGATTGGCTATGGCAGATCGTGAGTGACTTTGGGCAGATCCAATAGATTTGAACTTTAATAGTGAACCCGCCTACAAGGAAGGAAACGTTTCTCAATGGAGCGGTTCCAGACTCTATGTGGAAATGAAATGAACTAGAGTCTGGTTGAACCAGGCTAGGTAAAAATGCCTTGTCCCAACTTTTTTGAGATGTGTCGATGCCATGAAATTTAAAATCAACTTATGTTTCCCTTAAAATTATGCATTTTCTCAGTTTAAACATTTGATATGTCATCTATGTTGTATTCTAAATATAATATTGAAATTTGAAACTTCCACATCATTGCATTCTGTTTTTATTCACAATTTGTACAGTGTCCCAACTTTTATGGAATTCGGTTTGTACTTTGAAGACCATAATTAAGGTAATTAAGCAACAATAAGACGTAATATGAAAAATTGTTGTTTATTACACATCTGCAGATAGAGACAGACTGATCGTTCACTGTACAGCATTTGCGGCAGATCAGAAAACGACCACAGCGGCGTATTTGTAATGATTAGACACAGCTTCGACCGTTGAATGAATATACAGTATCACTGTCCTTCGTGTCAAATATACATTTCGAATTAATAATTGTTCCTAGATTAACAAAACCTGCGGCGCTCGTTGACTGAAATCCTATTGTAAACATAATCCTCTGATCATTCGGACTTGTTGTTTCCAGCCGTTTCGGCGCATGACATACTGTACGTCACTCACGACCACAAGTTAGCGAGTCTGGTTGAACCAGGCTACTTACTTAGTGCTTTGAACTCTTCATTATCAAATTGTTTGCATGTTATGAAATAAATACAGATTTTGGTCATTTTTTTTAGGTTTCTTCTCCTTCAGAAGTTGTTCTGTGTATTGTATTATATATGACTGAGTAGGGCTGTCAAACGATTAATCACGATTAATCGCATCCCAAAAAAGTTTGTGTTCACATAATATATGTGGGTGCACTGTGTATAATCGCGATTAATCATTTGACAGCCCTGTGACAGAGCTTGATGACAGAATGTTCATTTTTCCATGAACTCCACTGTAAGATGTAGAATAATGTCTTAAAATAACTGACATGAGAGCATCCTAACATCACAGCCCAATCTGACATGTAATTGTTTTCAATCACAGCACGATCTGATAGGTACCATCACTTAGAAACTGAGGAGGAGGACGATACAAATGATGAAGACTTTAATGTGGAACTACGGCAGTTTTCCTCATCTTCACACCGATTCTCTAAAGTGAGTTCTCTCTCTCTCTCTCTCTCTCTCTCTCTCTCTCTCTCTCTCTCTCTCTCTCTCTCTCTCTCTCTCTCTTCCTCTTTCCTCACATATACTTGTTTAATTCATGCAGTGCAGAAGAATTCAGCTGAGAAGAGTCCTGTTCGGTGGATGCGTAATGTGTTTGCATTTTGCAAGTTTTAATAAAGACGTCTAACGATGTGGCAAACACTGTCTGTGGGATAAAGCTCAGCTCATATATTTACATATATTTGCAATCTGATATAGGGATATATTTTTGTAGGTCAGGGAACAATATCACACACAACAAATACTCATGCACATTCTTGTTCTCGGCATGCAGGGCTTTGGTGCATTGCAGTATGAGTTGCTTCCAGAATCTCTATCATGCTTGCAATGAATATATCTGGAATATATCTGTGTTTTATAGTGTTAGACAGTGGTTATATTATTAATATCTTATTAATATATATATATATATATATATATATATATGAATGAATTTAATTCGTCTTCCCTCTGAGGTTTGCCTTAGGCCCCCTAGTGGGTCCCGGCCCCCTCTTTAAGAACCACTGTATTAGACAGATTTTAAATAGTGAGATGGTTTTGAAATGTAAAATTGTGTTTAAAATTTAAAGAACATACTTTGTCATGCATTTCAGGCTTCTGAAAATTAGGGGTGATTAGTGATTGCCATTTTGTGAATTGACTGTTTTGTACGAAATTTGTACAATGTGATTTGTATACAAAGGTAAGCATGAAGCATAACCCTCAGTGGGGTGTGAGAAGATCGGACAAAACTAAATTGGTGGCAAATTCATATGAGTTTGTACAATGTGGCTTGTGAAAGTGATCCATCTAGCAACAGTGTTCAGTAACGTAACACTGTCGCTAAATAGTAACGTTTTTCGGGTAAAAGTAGTCTAACGCGCTACTACTGAAAATTTGGTAACGAAACGTAGTTCCTTTTTCAATTCGGCAAAATGTTACTTTTCCCTGGGCCATCTCGTAGTGAACGCCTACAGAGAGAAATGCACATAATGGATTACATAATCAGAGAGTAGCCTATTTATTTTCGTTTAGAATTGTGTAGTTTAAAGATATTTCAAGCTTTCTATATATCGATTTATGTACTGTATCATGCCTGTGAGGCATACTCTGAGTCTCGGTTAACTTATGATGAGGTGCACCGGCACCGTCTGTCATGATTGTTTTGGGTAACACTTTTCTTGAAGGTGTGTGCATTAGAACTTACATGACACTTCATAATCATGACATGACATATGTTATGAATATGAAGGAAGTTTTATGCATGTTTGTGACAACTGCCATTAAGTGTCATTCGCTCAGTTATGACATTTTTAATGGAAATATGACATCGTTTGAGATGTATTTGTAATGACAGCTTGACCTAAACCAATGCATCATAAACCTGTTAGTGTCTTTGTCATGACAACTTGGCATTACTAAGACAACACAACCTGTCATAAACATGACATAGCAGATTAATGATCAAACTTGAGAAACCACCTAGCTTTATTGGTTAGCATTACATTAAACTGCCAGGTGGTTGGTTTTGACATTGGCTGTCATGAAGCCATTATAACTTTTTAATGACAAATTCAATTAATACCACTGTAGTTGAGGTCACAAAAAATATTCATGACACCGTTATAATGGCCTCATGACAGCCAATGTTAAAGCCAACCACATGACAGTTTAACTTCATTTTATGTCAAGTTGTAATGACAAAGACACTGACAGGTGATGATGTTATGGTTTACAGTATCTCAAGATGTCATAACAAAGACATCTTAAACAATGTCATATTTGCATTCAAAATGTCATTATTGAGCGAAAGACACTTAATGACAGTTGTCATAAACATGCATAAACCCTACTTCATATTCAAGACTTGTCATGTAATGGTTATGAAGGTGTCAGTCTTATGCACAGCGCTTCAAGTAAAGTGTTACCTTATATTGTCTGCTATATTTGCTACTTATACTTTATTAAATCCAGGCAATTGGTTGATATATATATATATATATATATATATATATACAAAACAAAGTTCACTTTAAAGAAAGGCTGTTTTCAAAACAAAACTTAATGAAGTGGTCAAAATCATGCCTGACCCACTCAATGTCTCCTGATTTATTGCGCATCCATCTTACTCGTGCTGTTCACTAGATGGGAAAAAAAAAACATAGATCTGAAAAAAATAACATTATAATATTTTAACAAATATGAAACTAAATTTGCTTATTTAATGGCTACAACACGTAGGCCTATAATAGGCCTATAGACTCTCTATTTGTACAAATTGCTGCACATTCATTTAATTATGAATTTTACACACATAATTTGAAAGGCTTTTTTTACGTGCATAGTAAAACATTTCTGCAACATTTATAAAGTTCACGGATAATTATGCGTGCATTTATTAATCATTATGATACTAAAATCATAATAAAGTAGGCTATACGATGTACAAAAAATCAGATGAGCCCAGAATATGTACACGTGTTTAATTACATGTTAAGCATTTTTCTCCCATAGAAAACCATTAGAAGAATGCTTAATTTGGCTTAATGCAGATTAGAATGTCCCCTTATGTCGAAATAAGATGCGTTTCTTTTTTTTTTCTTCACCATGCGGTTCAGGACTTCCATAGAATACACCCTGGATATAATTGCTTCCAGAAATTATTTTTGGGGGTGCTAACAGGGAGCTTTGGTCTTTTTTTTGGGCTTTCTTTCTATCCCCTCCCTAGCGTCGCCCATGCATATGCCTATCCATTAACGGACATTTCTTATTTTAAATATTCAAAATTTTGATAAATGCATTATGCATTTATGGCTTTATATATGGCATTGTGCATAGTAGAACTTTATGTTGGCTTACACATGTAGGAACAGTAAAGTAAAGTAACGGATTACTTTTTTTAAGAAGTAACGAGTAACGAGGTACACTACTTTTTAAAAAAGTAACTTCCCAACACTGTCTAGCAATGACCCAGAACACCCTAGAAACAACCTAGCAGTAACCTAGAAACCAACAGGAACATTTCATGTTACATTTTATATTTACAGTGGTGTGAATAAGTTTGGACACCCATGCTAAAGTTGCCTAAAAAGAGGAATAAAAAAAAATCACCTTTTGGATATTGATCTTAATGCCTTAATTAGAAAAATGAGGAAAACTCCAACCTTTAAGGACACAAAATTTCTTTGTGAATGAATAATGTATCATAAATAAATACATGTTTTTCCTTAAAATACAGGGTGCATAAGTCAGAACACCCCAATGTTAAATTCCCATAGAGTCAGGCAGATTTTTATTTTTAAAAGCCAGTTATTTCATGGATCCAGGATAATATGCATCCTGATAAAGTTTCCTTGGCCTTTGGAATTAAAATAGACCCACATCATCACACACCATTCACCATGCCTTGAGATTGGCATGGTTTTACTTCAGTTAGCCTAATAGCTGGTTTGATTTGCATTGAAAGATGATCTTATGGAAAGTACCCCATGCCAATCTCTAGCTGTGGTGGAAGGTGTGTGATGATGTGGGGATATTTTAATTTCAAAGGCCAAGGGAACTTTATCAGGATGCATATTATCCTGGATCCATGAAATAACTGGCTTTTAAAAATAAAAATCTGCCTGACTCTATGGGAATTTAACATAGGGGTGTCCTGACTTATGCATCCTGTATTTTAAGGAAAAACATTTATTTATTTATGATGCATTATTCATTCACAAAGAAAATTTCTGTCCTTAAAGGTTGGAGTTTTCCTATTTTTTTTAATTAAGGCATTAAGATCAATATCCAAAAGATGATTTTTTTATTCCTCTTTTTAGGCAACTTTAGCATGGGTGTCCAAACTTATTCACACCACTGTATGTGCTTCAGGATTCAGTATAATCTCATGCCTATGTTTACTCAGAGATCTATTGGTGCTTATATATACTGTTTGTTTGCGTGTTGTATGTGTGGTAGGTGTACAGTAGTCTGGATCTGTCTCGAGGACAGCTGGAGGAGAAAGGAGAACAGACAGAGAAGACAACAGACAGTCCTCTCACTGTTGACTCACTGAGCTGGACTCCAGACTTCACTGAGATGTATGTTACCCACAAAGCCTTTCCATTTAAAAGGCTCAGATCCCAAGACAATGTGAAAAATCTGAAAATAAGACCTCATAGAATATATGAAGAGTTCAGATGCAAAAGCCTCTAAATGCCATTTGAAATTTTCTTCTTTAATGATGATTTTTATCAAACTTGTATATTTAAGTTCAGTAATTTCACTTAAATAACAATTAATAGGTAATTATCATTGCCATTTAAGTGAAATCACTGAACTTAAATATACAAGCTTGATAAAAATTATCAATCTAGAAGAAAATTTCAAATGGCACTTGGAGGCTTTTGCATCTGAACTCTTCATATGCACCTCTATACTCACTTGCCACTTGCCACAATTTTTGTTTTAATTGAAATGTTTGTAGAATGTGATTTTTCCAAGTGGATTATATAGGTTGTTTCTCTTCTCCAGCCCCTCTCTCTCTCATTCTTCTGACACTGAGAGCACCAGCTTGAGCAGATGCTCTGGTCTTCTCCCTAAATTTGCAATCTCAGCAGAAGTGGAGGATGGTGAGGGCTCCCTCTCTCTGGAAGACCCCAGTAAAGTGACCTTCAGTATTGGGGAGTTGCCTCAGGATGAGCCAGATCCCACCACACCCTGTAGCACCATGAGTAACTCCACACTCTCAGGTATGGGGGGATTTATGGGAGATTGGGCTGTATACTGTATGCATTAAACTTGCTCCACAAAAAAATGTTGTTGCACTTTATTCGGATGGTCTACTTTAGACATTCTACTAACTATAATTAACTTTGCAAATACATGTCAATTATCACTCATTAGAGTATAGCAGACTAGAGTAGACTGCGTTTTGTCTGGGGTCTCAAGAGACTGTATTTTTTTTTTTTTGCTATACCTCAGTTGACCCCCAGTTCACCTGAAACAATGTGATCAATGTGATTTGTTTGATCAAATTGATAGCTTCAAAAATATCTCCTGGGTATTGATCAGGTCAAATGAATGTGTAAAAAATATTGAAAAGGGGAAATAATAAGTAAATTGTATAATAATTACTACACTTACGGTACGTTTTCACTACAATGATGTACTAAAAACTGAATTTTTCATGTACAGACCACAACGTTTTTAAAAACGATCCCCATTCACACGGATCCATGAAAACAATTCAATACGCTGTATTATTCTACCTGCCCAGTAGTTGGCTGTCAATTTAAGCTCTACGTGCCTATAAACTGAACACGTAATACGCATGCGCATGACATTTTTTTTTTGTAGTTTACACGCAGAAAATAACTGTACCGTTTTCAAAAGTTTGCATCTTCAGGACCCCAAAACAACATTGTTGTGTAAATTAATTTGAGATCAAATTAACAAATTGTGCAAAATTAGTGTGAATGCTCTGGAAATAGTGTCTGGTCTGGTCTGTTTAGTATAAATTTACTACTTACCTTCAATTTTTTTGAGTAGGCAGTTTCTCCGAGCACCTGGATCAGATGCCGTCACAGGGAGGTGGAGGGGAGAGTCTGGACGGCTCCTGTAAGCCCTCCTCAGACACAGGCTTCTTCCTGACTGCTTCCAAACCTGAGACAGCAGACAAACAGTTTGCAGTCAGCAAAGTGCCAAAATCAGTATCTACCAGTGCCCTGTCACTCATGATCCCTGGAGGTGAGTGAGTGTACAGTATGTGCATGCTGGAAGAACATTTGTTGTTATTGCCAGTTTATTTATTGACTTATTAATGTATGATTGGGCCTCTCTTGTTCCCCCAGATGTTTTTGGTGTGTCACCATTAGCAAGCCCCATTTCTCCATACTCACTGTCATCAGACCCATCCTCTAGAGACTCATCCCCCAGCCGCGATTCTCCACTTAGCAGTGTCAGCAGTCGTCAGCCAATCATCATACACAGCTCAGGGAAGAAGTTTGGCTTCACTCTGCGGGCGATTCGGGTCTACGCTTGTGACAGTGATGTTTATACAGTTTATCACATGGTCTGGGTAAGTGTGGGTGGCATCTCAATAAAAGCCAAACAGCTGATAACATGTATTCTTACTTGAAGTTGTGGCTTGTTAGGGCAAAAATAAATTAAACTTGGAAAAGATTTTTCATTTCTCATTTTGCTGCATTACACATAATTAAGACTTTTTTGTTTCCTTTTTGGGGGGGATAGAATTTAGAAGATGGTGGTCCTGCTCACATGGCTGGTCTTAAGGCTGGAGACCTGATCACTCATGTGAATGGAGAAACAGTTCACGGGCTGCTTCACACTGAGGTGGTGGAACTACTGCTGAAGGTGCAAAATGAATTGATGTTACAACCAAAACACTATTTTCACTGCTTATTTTTATCACTTTGTGTTACAGTATTTCTGTAATTGACACTTACATTTTGTTTTGTAGAGTGGAAGTAAAGTAGCTATATCCACGACCCCTTTTGAAAACACTTCTATCAAAACTGGTCCAGCTCGAAGAAATAGTTACAGAAGCAAAATGGTGAGAAGAACCAAGAAACCCAAGAAAGAGAAAACCCAAGAAAGGTAGGAAAACAGGAATATCAATATTCTCATCATTCTTGTCCGTTTCACATAAATTTAGATGATAAGCTACCTACACACCATTAGCAAGATCCTCCGCTGCCAATAGATGGAGCTGTTGTTGCATTTTTATATATTTTTTTTTTAATATGCACTCAAACTAGTGTACTTACTGGCTACTGCATACAATGCATACTGTATATTGTGTAATAGTTTTTTTTTTTTTTTAATTATTATTTCTTTTTTTTAAACCATAGGCAATATGTAATTATAACCATTTTAGTTGTTTATCAAATGTTATGTTAAAAAATATATTGTCAAATGACCTTAGTATTGGCAAGTGTAATTTTGTATTATTCTTCAACAAATAACGAATTTGGATTTTTAAAAAAAATAAAAATAATAACTTTTGATATTGCATTATGAAATATAATATTCCATTAGGTGTGCTTTCAATATATATACTGTACATTCTTGCAAATGTATGTATATTGTATACTGCAAAATGTCATTCTGAATTTTTTTTCAGTCACGCTTTTTTCCTCTCCAGGCGGCGTTCTGTATTCAAACGCTTTGCCATGCAGCCCTCTCCACTTTTACACACCAGCCGCAGTTTCTCCTCGCTGAACCGCTCTCTGTCTTCAGGAGAGAGTCTACCTGGATCTCCCACACACAGCCTCTCACCACGCTCCCCAACAGCTGCCTTTCGTGCAACACCTGATTTTAGCCAATCAGGTTTGTGCCGTACATTACCTAGACAGTAGGTGTTTCTCAATGTCAAGGATACTTCCTTGGCAGGACGGGTCCTTCCAAGTCATTTCCTTAGGCTAGGCAGGGTCCTCTTTAGCTTCGGAGAACACGTAAATGGAAAGGCTAGCAGTGCACGTCATTGCGTTACATCAGTGAAAGGTCCGCTTCGGCGCTGCAAAAATCATAGTGCTGGTGTACAGCACTGTTTGTTGACAGTCCTTATTTTGTTTGTCAGTCCTCAGAAATAAATAATTAAATAAATAAAGTATAAGGGATAATGTATAAACCAGGCGGTTATAGTGAATACAACCCCCAAACTCTTAAGGTCTTGATTGAATCAGCCTGAAGGGGTTGTACGTACCAAACGGCTACCAAATAAATCAATAATTTGACACAAAATATTTATTTAAAAAGGAGTTTATTCATTCAAAAACGATTATATTACCGGAGTGAACAGAAACTAGCACTACGTCATAGCAACACGATCTAGCTGTTAAAACACATGCAATGGTAAAATATGTGACCAACAAAAAAGGCTATAACGTTATATTGAAGTAAAATTAAAAGTTAATCACCAGTAAAGGGAACAGCTTTAAATCCCCTCAGCAAATTTGAGCCGATATTGTTAATAGTTTAACAAACATTAATAAATGGCTAACTGAAATTATACTTGCTTACATTTGAAAGCATATTGCCGTTATCACTCCGACTCCGCTAAACGGTCGACATTTTTTTATTTTTGAAACAAGATAGCAAAGCTGCGCATAGGATTGTGGGTGATTTAAGAGCGCGAAGGCTACACATATGCATCCTTTCCTGTGTATGGGATATTTTCCGAACTAAGGACTCAGTCCTTGGTTGAAATTCTGAGGATCCTCGACATTGGAACAGTCCTTCGACGGACGTCGATGACGTAGCATCCTCGAAATTCCGGCTTCCGAGGATCCTTCCTTGACATTGAGAAACGCCTAGTGTTTCTGTAAAAATAACATATCTTAAAGGGTTAGTTCACCCAAAAATGAAAATTCTGTCAGTATTTACTCACCCTCATGTTGTTTCAACCCCGTAAGACCTTCGTTCATCTTCGGAACACAAATTAAGATATTTAAGATATTAAGATCGCTCCTGCATACAGTCCATAGGCTTCTTGAGGTACTGGCTCTTGCTGTCCCCGAAAAGTCATTAAAGACATCGTTAAATAGTCCAAGTGACTACAGGGGCTCAATCTTAGGTTTATCAAACGACGAGAACACTTTTGTGCCGCAAAAAAACAACAAAAATAACGACTTTATTTCAACTATTCACTTCCTTCTCCATGAGCCTGTAAGTCAGTTAACGTAGTGTGATTGCGTAGAGCTACGTCACACGTAGGCTCACTATTGGCCGACGCTGGCATGTGTGTGTGATGCGTGTGACGTACAATAACAGAAGCTTACGCTATTAAACTAGTAACCTGACTCGCGCAGAGGAGAAATAAACGAATAGTTGAATAAAGTCGTTATTTTTTGTTGTTTTTTTTGCGCACAAAAGTGTTCTCGTTGTTTGATAAACTTAAGATTGAGCCCCTGTAGTCACTTGGACTGTTTTAACGATGTCTTTAATGAGGACAGCAAGAGCCAGTCCCTCAAGAAGCCTATGGACTGTATGCAGGAGCGATCCTAATATCTTAAATATCTTAATTTGTGTTCCGAAGATGAACGAAGGTCTTACGGGGTTGGAACAACATGAGGGTGAGTAAATACTGACAGAATTTTCATTTTTGGGTG